TTCCTCTTTCATTGATGACTACTTTTTTTTTAAGAAGCAAAGATGATTACCAACTAAGGAAACCGATTTAAAAATATAAGAAATAAAACATTCTTTAAGATCATCTCATGCATGGACTGGCAAGAGGCAAGGTCGAGAATCCATTGGATCTTATCTGTGCTTTTATGAAACCCAACACCTCAGCGCCTCTAAAACTTGCCCTTTGAGATGAAATGTAGGAGTTTGGCTGAGAGGCACAGTGTGTGTTTGACCTCAAACAGAAAAAGCATAACAAATACCTTCAAAACTAAGCTGAACATATTAGCACATCAAAACTTATCAAGTCCCATGTCCAATGTAGACCATCTGTATGTTGTTACAAACTACAATTTCTACAAGAATTAAAAATGTATAATATTTTGCATTTAAAAAAAAAAAATCTAGAGCTGACAAGGAATGGAATGAATAAACAATAAAACATTTTAGGCTGCTGCAGTCTGCAAGTTCTGAACTTAAACAACAAAATAAAATGCTGCAGAAAAATTCCCTTTCCTGCATTTGGTATGTCAAATTATATTATAGAAAAATTTAAATATATTTTTAGAATGCCTCGATGTTAGGGACAGTTAACAGAAACTGCATTCACTGTAGCAGACCAGTTATTATTTTTTACATAAACATCCTGCTGTGATAAATATTCAGCACTCGCTTAAATTTTAGACAGGATGATAGCCTTTAATGTTTGTAAACAAATTTAAAATGTTTCACTGTTTTTGACAATGCAAACCACAAATATCATTGTAATTTACTGGTATACATTGCTGTAGTCAATCATACACATGTGATAGGCTTTAGTTCTTTATCACGGACAAAAAAATCTGAAAAGTGTGGTGTGCATTTGAATTCACCCACCAGGTTATATAAAAAAAAAATCCAAACATATCTATTTAGATATAGAAAACAATCTTTGCTTTCAAATCTCTGGATTTGTTAAGGTATGTCTGTAGTATAAGAGTTGTTTTTTTGTTGTTGTTGTTGTTGTTTTTTAAAACCATTCCATTAGTTTTACTGTGATTTATGTTCAGGTTCTCTGTGCTGTTACAAATTAAACCTTTTTCCTAATCCTGAACATGTTGCAATCTCACACAGCATTTCTGCCAGGATTTCCTTTTAACATCTATCTTTCAATCAAGTCTGACCAGCCTTCATACTCTTGCTGATTGAATGATGTTGACTCCTCCATATGAGTTTGAGACAAAAGTACCGTATATAACATCAAATATTAGAATAAAAATAGCTTCTTTCTTTTAAAAAGCCAATATCTGAAACCTACAAGTTAAAAAGTACATAACTTAAAAGTACTATAGGGTGGCTAAGCATTATATTTCAAAAGGTTTCTTGTCTTTAGTTTAAAACCTTTACTGTAGTTTTAAACAGTACTATTTCTGGATAATATTTAATAAATATAAGTGCTGTTAGAAACATCAATTTTCTGGCCTCTTTAAGAAAAGCATTATACAATGTTTTTGAGTCTTCCCCTTACCAAAGGTGGATTCTTTGATTTGTTTATGGAACTTTACATGGAATTATGGTGTTTAGGTGGAAATCATAATCTCTATTATTAATCTATATGTAAAGCTTGTTCTTTTAGACAGCTACAACATGGACACCAGCTTCTTCTTTAGAGAAGAAGAGAGATTTTATGTTTAATCTAAGCAATAGCCATCAATAGGAAGGTCAAGGTTCATGGTCAACTCTATGATAAATACCTGATTAATTCTAATAAAGATTAGTCAAGGCTATAATAGTAATCTAGCCTATTAGAAAAAGAACCATGATAGGAAAGCTTTTATTCTGGAAATGTTCAAAGGTGATAGTAGTGAGATTTGGTGACAGATTTATAGGCTTGTTAAAATTCATGTGTCATCAACAATGCATGATGACACAAATAGTTAACTGAACTGACATGTGGACATGGATAATTGCAGACAGCCTGGTGAAGACTGACACAAAATCCATTCAAAAACTTCACAAGGAGTTAACAAGGCTGGAGTCAGTGCATCATGAGCCACTATATACAATGTACAAATTTATGTAAAGTCAAAACTGAAGCAGGGATTTGGTTAAAGGAGTGGAGATGCTGAATTCATCTTCTGGCAGGACTTGAAACCTTCCAACAATGCCAAAAGAACCAGTAGGTGGTTCCATGTCCATAGTGTTAGCACATTTTGCTCTCATTCATGCCACCCTGCGTTGCTGAATTTGCGCAAAAGGAGCCCCAGATTTTTGAGCGAATAAAAAATAAACATGCTTTTAAGAAGCCTGGCATTTCTGTTTTAAAAAATCTCCTAAAAATGTTCAATCTTGTGTGATATTCTGATTCTCTAAGACACTGAATATGTTTTTTTTTTTTTTTTTTTTTTTTTGTCTTTAGGCCACAATAATCAAAATCACAAGAAATAAAGGTTTGAAATGTTTTACTATATATATATATATATATA